ATTCCCGTGGGACAGTGGGGTAGCCTAGTGGTTCATCATGCTGAAGACTGGGTTTGATTCCCCACATGGGCACAAGGTGTGATGCCCATTTCTGGTGTCCTCTGCCATGATACTGCTAAAATCAATATAAGACCCAACTCACTCACCTACTCACTCACTCACTCACTCACTCACTCACTCACTCACTCACTCACTCACTCACTCGCTGATGATAATTCCCCGACAAACCAGCCAATGTGGTAAGAATATTGAATGTCTTTTGTGCTTTCTTAAAAATAACTGTACTTTGTACTTCTACGTGTGTGATAAATATTGGCAAGAAGAGAAAAAGGTGTCTTGTTTTAAACACACAAAACACAAGTAAACTTTGTTCAAGAGAACACCAGATCTAATGAAATCTTTTCTCCACCATGAGAAGTTAAGTAGCTTACAACAAATGCTCAGTTTTTTTATTGTGGGTAAAGGAAATGAGAGAGTTTTGTGGAAACAGTGAACATGTGCCAAGTAATTGCCACACTTCCTGTCTGAGGCTCCTTCTCCTCCAGGGGGCGCTGCAATATGTATTTGTTATATACCCAACGGATGCTTGTCAGAGTATGCACTGTTTGATAGTCAAGGTGTTCAGGGAGGCAGACTGTTGAAGGGATCAGGGCTTAAAGGATTCAGGTAAGTTGATCATGGATGTATGGGTTATAGTTGGCTGGACTGTTGAGAATATATAACCTGACAGGATTTATATTCTTGTTCCTGCTCATGTTGTGCCGGTATCTTCTATTGATTGTTTCCCATGGATGTTTAGTACCCACAGAGGGAAGGAATATCAGCAAGAAGGTATTTATCTAGACAATAGAGGCTAATAAGTGGACCCAAATCTGCTGCAAATGTCAGGAAGTAATCCTGAACTGGAATCCAAACTTGCCAGTTTGTGCTGTTTTGTTAAACCTTATGTTGGGTTTTGTCGAGGTTACTTTAGGACCAGTTAACAGGATGGGATGTTATGCTTTGTAATGCATTGTTGTGTTGAATTCAGTAAAGTACAATGTTAGATTCCTCTGAATGTAGGAAAGTTGAAAACTGAAATGAATGTATAGATTTGATCAAAGTGATTATTAGTGACTGCCCATTGCAATTAGTTTGGAATCATGATGTATTCCAGCTGAAATGAAATGTTCATGTCAAGAGAAGTGTTCCATTTATAACATATGGTATTCATATCAATATCATCATATTCCCTCTTTTGCTCAATTATGACACATCAGGAACCTGTAGTTGTTGGTTCGTGTCCCAAGTTGCCCTGGTAATGTTTCCAGATTTTTCAGCACCTTACCTGTGCTTCAGAAAAGTAGTTAATGTCGAGACTGTGTTTGCTCGTACATGAAGCTGGCAGGAAACGATGTAACTGAAATACTGTTCAAAGTTAGGTTAAACCCAACTCACTCACTCTGTCACTCTCTCATGAAGTTGAAGAACTTTATCTCCTTGTTGACTGAATGTCTTCAGCGTATCATTGAAGTGACATCCACACCGACGGTCAACTGTTAATAAAGAGTCTATGGGAACTTCTGTTCACAACGTATCACCTTTTGTACAATTTTTGTTTACAGAGTTAACTACAGGTCATAACAAAATGGAAATGTGGGTCTAAGATTTTAGAAGTCATAGATTGGTCTATTGTTGCTTTAGGTACCAGGTGTTTGGAGTTGTTATGAAAGCATACAGTGCCATTTTCAGGGAGGCAATGGGCAAACACTCCATCGTATTTGAACCCTAATTCTTGTGTTGTCATTTCAATGTTGTGATAGTGGGATAAAAGTAGTTTGGACTTCGTACTACAAGGGTACGTAGGCTCTGGGCTTCATACCATCAGCCACTGGTTGGGTCAGGCAGGCACTGGTTGGGGACTTCACACCATCAGCCACTGGTTGGGACCAGACTTCATACCATCAGCCACTGGTTGGGACCAGACTTCATACCATCAGCCACTGGTTGGGACCAGACTTCACACCATCAGCCACTGGTTGGGACCAGACTTCACACCATCAGCCACTGGTTGGCACCAGACTTCATACCATCAGCCACTGGTTGGGACCAGACTTCACTCAGGCACTGGTTGGGCACCAGACTTCACACCATCAGCCACTGGTTGGGGACTTCATACCATCACTGGTTGGGGACTTTACACCATCAGCCAAATCAGGCACTGGTTGGGACCAGATCTAACTGTTGGGACCAGACTTCATACCATCAGCCACTGGTTGGGACCAGACTTCATACCATCAGGCACTGGTTGGGACCAGACTTCATACCATCAGGCACTGGTTGGCACCAGACTTCACACCATCAGCCACTGGTTGGGACCAGACTTCATACCATCAGGCACTGGTTGGCCAGACTTCATATCATCAGGCACTGGTTGGCAACAGACTTCATACCATCAGCCACTGGTTGGCACCAGACTTCACACTATCAGCCACTGGTTGGCACCAGACTTCACACTATCAGCCACTGGTTGGCCACAGGCTTTACACTAAATCGGCAGGATCTAATGTGATCTTTGTGCATGTAGAGTATGGGAATTACATCATTCATAATACCTACATTGTGGATATGTGTAGTTAGTAGTGGGGCTGATCCTTGAAACTGAAGAAGAACAGATGGACACCTGTGTCGTCTTTCTCTGAAGGCTGTAGAGTTGCTTATTCTTTCTTTCACTGGTTTGTTTTGCCCAGACCCAGGATTTATGCAAACTCCTGTGATATACCTTGAATATTACTGACTGCTGACCCCTCACTCATCCATACACCCACTGAAAGCCATACTCACTCACTCATCCATACACCCAGGGAAAACCATACTCACTCACTCATCCATACACCCACTGAAAGCCATACTCACTCACTCATCCATACACCCACGGAAAACCATACTCACTCACTCATCCATACACCTAAGGAAAACCATACTCACTCACTCATCCGTACACCCACTGAAAACCATACTAACTCATCCATACACCCATTGAAAACCATACTAACTCACTTATCCATACACCCACGGAAAAACATACTCACTCACTCATCCATACACCCACGGAAAAACATACTCACTCACTCATCCATACACCCACGGAAAACCATACTCACTCACTCATCCATACACCTACGGAAAACCATACTAACTCATCCATACACCCATGGAAAACCATACTAACTCACTTATCCATACACCCACGGAAAAACATACTCACTCACTCATCCATACACCCACGGAAAACCATACTCACTCACTCATCCATACACCAATGGAAAACCATACTCACTCACTCATCCATACACCCACGGAAAACCATACTCACTCACTCATCCATACACCAATGGAAAACCATACTCACTCACTCATCCATACACCCACGGAAAACCATACTCACTCACTCATCCATACACCAATGGAAAACCATACTAACTCACTTATCCATACACCCACGGAAAACCATACTCACTCACTCATCCATACACCCACGGAAAACCATACTCACTCACTCATCCATACACCCATGGAAAACCATACTCACTCACTCATCCATACACCCATGGAAAACCATACTCACTCACTCATCCATACACCTAAGGAAAACCATACTCACTCACTCATCCATACACCTAAGGAAAACCATACTCACTCACTCATCCATACACCCATGGAAAACCATACTCACTCACTCATCCATACACGTAAGGAAAACCATACTCACTCACTCATCCATACACCCACTGAAAGCCATACTCACTCACTCATCCATACACCTAAGGAAAACCATACTCACTCACTCATCCATACACCCACTGAAAACCATACTCACTCACTCATCCATACACCCACTGAAAGCCATACTCACTCACTCATCCATACACCCACTGAAAGCCATACTCACTCACTCATCCATACACCCACTGAAAGCCATACTCACTCATCCATACACCCACGGAAAACCATACTCACTCACTCATCCATACACCCACGGAAAACCATACTCACTCACTCATCCATACACCCATGGAAAACCATACTCACTCACTCATCCGAAACATTAGAGTAATTGGAGGAATGTTTAATTCCATGTTGTTTGGAGACAATGACAGGGTGCAACAAAAGCAGATGGCTCATTTAAGCTGCATTTTTACAAATCACTGCCAACATCAGTGTTCCAGAAACCGTATCAGAGGTCTTTTGAGCTGAGAGTTGATCCATATCGCGGATCAGCCCCTCAAGGCATGGCGAGTTCTTCCATTTAAACAAAGAAATATTGACCGAAATATTAGTTGTGTAAAAGAACCTGACAACATTCTTCCACGTTTGCATCAGATTGTGTCATGAGCTCAGCGTCATTCCTTTGGGTTAGTGCTGTTTTTTTGTTGTCTTTTTTAATTTATCTGAATCAAGTATGTATAACTCATTTCCTTTTTTTTGTCTGACTGTGATTGAATAGGCAATTATGTCACACCCTAATAAGAATCCTGGATAAATTCTTTATAGGAATGCAATAAAAATGTTAATTTTCCCGAAAATTCCATCATCATGTTTACTATGTAGGTGCATAGTGAAATAGGGCTGCACAGTGTTTTGACATGGGAGAGTGTTGAAGCATATTGCATAGGGATAAGGCAGCTGGTAAAGAAATTGGATAGGTTCACTGACTTATATAACCCAAGGCCAGCAGTAGAGAGCTTAATTGGTTCTTCTAGGGTCTGCCCTCACTGGAAGGACAACATGGTAGAAAAAGGCTTTGTTTTAGAGCCGTGCCGGTAGATTCAGCACTGTCCCTGTTGATGTATGGCATTGGACAATTTCTGACAGAAGTTTATGTATAAGCTAGCTAATCTCTCAGACTTGTTATTGGCCTGAGTCCTATGACGTCAGAGAAAGAAGTTTTTGCCATCACTGGTGAAATCGACAGAATTGGACGTTTGGTGTTATGGATTTTTCAATATCTGTAGAGCGGCTTCCTTCTATTGGGCCTGGTGAATGTGCTTCGTAAATCAATAGTTACGCTTGGGTGTGCTGTGGAAACAACCACAGGATATATGCAGAAGGATTCTACCAAATGGGCTTTTCTGTGAAGAATTTCCACATTTCCCCGACTGACGTAGTGAAACAGGGAGGTCTGCACTGACTGTGGTACCAGGTGAAGTAAACATGGGAAGTTTAGACATGTATTTGTTTTAATTGAAGCTGCCAAGAACTATGCATTGAATGGATACTTAGACCAACTCCCACTGGAGAAGCAGACGTCATCACTTGGCAAAGAATCAGCTGACTCGCTCAGAAGGTTATAACTCCAATGGGATTGAGATCTTTAGAATATATGCTACCATACAGTTAGGGAGGGATTGAGAGTCTGGTGTGTGCTTTCGCGGATTGGATTGTTCGTATGTTCCGAGGAAGCCTTTGATGTACCTTTGAATCTGTGTTCACTGTAAGTAACAAAGACTGATAGTCGTTTTCCAGTTTACCATGGTGATCAATTGTTGTTATCTACAAAGACAAATCGCTGGTTTTCGTAGATAGATTGCAGGATGTTTTCAAGCTTGTCTTTGAAATTGTGTTTAGGTTTTATTTCTGTTTGAGTTCTTGTGACATCTTATAGGTGAAAATTAAGTACTTGGTGATTGACCGTTTGAAGTTGGATATTGAAAAACAGAAAGAAAATGGATTTCAGATAACTTCATAAAAAGCTATCGTCTGATTGAATGATTAAGTCTAAGTTTCTTATAAATTGTTACTCTTTGTAAACAGATGCAGACAGAGAGAACCAACAGATTTTTGAAAACGTTACAAACGTAAACGTATGCCAAGGTTTTGCAATCATGAGGTATAGCTGGAAACTACAGAGGGGTTTTATTGCCAGTTGGGGTATACGAGGCAATAGCATGATAGGAACTGCTGATCAGGATAATTTGATTGGATGATTACTCAGCCAGCAGTGAGTATGGCATGAATTTATATGGCATGGTACTTACACAATTGGCATGAAAGGGAAGTGATCTGAGGTTGAGTTTGTAACCAGTATGGAAACTGTCAGGAATTAGAAGCCTCAGTTGATTTATGGAGGTTTCAGGTTGCCTCTGTTTTGGTTTGTCCATATTTCTAAATCTGATGGTGTTCACACTTATCGTGTATGTTATCTATGTTATCAAGAATGTTTTGAGAGAAAAACAACAACAACCAGTATGCCAAGATGTAAGTACTTGAGTTAGTTGTAACGAATGCTGGCCAAAGCTTCCAACACAGTGTTGCTGCAGTTTGATGATATTTCACTGATTTGTCATATGACTGTATTCCTGTATTCTTTATTGTGTATTAATCACTTTTCAGATTGTTACAGTTTCTTTTTTTGCTTTCCTCTGTTGCCGGAGATACCCCAGCAAAAGCTTCAATAATATTCTGTTTAATCATTGAAAATGTCCCCAATTGCCATTTTGGAAGAAATTGGTCTTAGGTTGATGCAGTTTGTCATGTGGAGTTGTGTCCCCTTGCTACACCAGGATTCAGTTATCAGTGAATTGAATTGTAGCATGAATGAGCATTGTATATTACTCAAAAGAAGTATACACCATATATTTTTATATGGCTACAGTAAAAATCTGTCATGACCATTGGGTGATCTCTTACTTGTTTTGAGTGGTATACTTTTTATCTGAACATCATTACCTGCATTAGTTCGAGCAATTCTTTTAACATTGTGTTGATATGCCATGATAGAACTGAAGCACTATGTATGTTATTCTAATGAATGTCCAACTTATGCTGACTCCTTTCACTGTTACAGAGAACCAGGATGTTAACTTCGATGCAATTCTTGGAGAACTTTGTGAGCTGGAAACGCAGCTGAATACAACTCAAACTGAGCTCTCACGTAGCCTGGGTGGATACCCGGCTGAGATGGTCAACGAACATCAGCCACACGAAAAGAAAGATGGAGGTGGTGGGGGAGGAGGAGGAAGTGGTGGAGGGGGGAGTGATATGATTCAGGCGGAGCTTGACGCCCTCGCGGCCGAGATCACACAAGGATTAGGATACCGCAACAACGTACATGTATACAATGGACAAACAGTGGATACCACTTATGACACAGGTGAAACAGACTCGGCTTTCTCGGACAATGCCTCGTTGCCATCTTCCGAATCCTTCACTTCCATGGTAACGGTGTCGTCTTCTGCAGATACGACGTCTTCGTCTTCCGGAGATACTTGCAGTACTAGTAGTGCTATGTCCGCAGCAACGCTGCAAGGAGAGGTAAGCTTTATGATAATATTTTGATAATTTGTGATGTCATCATTTTGTTTGCTTGAGGTTATATTGTCGCTTCCAGTTTGTGACAGGAGTTTGCTGAGGTTTTGTTTGTTGTCTCCAGTTCAGGATGAGAGTTGCTTGAGCTATGTATTTGTCTCCAGTTCAGGATGAGAGTTGCTTGAGCTTATGCATGTTGCCTCAGTTAGTGACAAAGTTTGCTTGTTGCCTCCAGTTAGTGACCGGAGTTTGCTTCAGGCTATGTTTGTTGCCTCCATTTGGAGACAGGAGTTTGCTTGAGCTTATGCTTGTTAGCGACAGAAGTTAGCTTGTTGCCTCCAGTTAGCGACAGAAGTTTGCTTGTTGCCTCCAGTTAGCGACAGAAGTTTGCTTGTTGCCTCCAGTTAGCGACAGGAGTTTGCTTCAGGCTGTTTGTTGCCTCCAGTTAGTGACAGGAGTTTGCTTCAGGCTATGTTTGTTGCCTCCATTAGGAGACAGGAGTTTGCTTCAGGCTATGTTTGTTGCCTCCATTAGGAGACAGGAGTTTGCTTCAGGCTGTTTGTTGCCTCCAGTTAGTGACAGGAGTTTGCTTCAGGCTATGTTTGTTGCCTCCATTAGGAGACAGGAGTTTGCTTGAGCTTTATGCATGTTGCCTCAGTTAGTGATAGACGTTTGCTTTTGCCTCCAGTTAGCGACAGAAGTTTGCCTTCGGTTAGTGACAGGAGTTTGCTTCGTGCCTCCATTTATTGAAAGGAGTTAGCTTGAGGTTATGTTTGTTGCCTCCAGTTAGTGACAGGAGCTTGCTTGTTGCTTCCAGTTAGTTGGTTGCAGGAATTTGTTTGAGCTAATGCATCTTGCCCTCGGTTAGTGACAGGAGTTTGCTTGTGACTATGTTTGTTTCCTTCAGTTAGTAACACATTTCTGGTGTCCCCTGCCATGATATAGCTGGAATATGGTTAAAAGCAGCGTAAAACTGAACTCACTCACTCACTCAGTTAGTAACTGGAGTTTGCTTCTTGCCCCCTGTTAGTGACAGGAGTTTGTTTGAGCTAATGCATCTTGCCCCCGGTTAGTTGTGTTTGAGCTAATGCATCTTGCCCCCTGCCCCCTGTTAGTGACAGGAGTGTGTTTGAGCTAATGCATCTTGCCCCTGGTTAGTGACAGGAGTGTGTTTGAGCTAATGCATCCTGCCCCCTGTTAGTGACAGGAATTTGTTTGAGCTAATGCATCTTGCCCCCTGGTTAGTGACAGGAGTTTGTTTGAGCTAATGCATCTTGCCCCCTGTTAGTGACAGGAGTTTGTTTGAGCTAATGCATCCTGCCCCCTGGTTAGTGACAGGAATTTGTTTGAGCTAATGCATCTTGCCCCACGGTTAGTGACAGGAGTTTGTTTGAGCTAATGCATCTTGCCCCCTGTTAGTGACAGGAGTTTGTTTGAGCTAATGCATCTTGCCCCCTGTTAGTGACAGGAGTTTGTTTGAGCTAATGCATCTTGCCCCACGGTTAGTGACAGGAGTTCGTTTGAGCTAATGCATCTTGCTCCCGGTTAGTGACAGGAGTGTGTTTGAGCTAATGCATCTTGCCCCCGGTTAGTGACAGGAGTGTGTTTGAGCTAATGCATCTTGCCCCCGGTTAGTGACAGGAGTGTGTTTGAGCTAATGCATCTTGACCCCCGGTTAGTGACAGGAGTTTGCTTCATGCCCCCTTTATTGAATTGAAAGGAGTTTACTTGAGCTTATGTTTGTTGCCGCCAGATAGTGACAGTGATCTTCCATGCTGTTTTGATGACTTTTTTGCTGGCTGTGTATAGTTTTTGTAATCTTTTCATTAGATCAGTTTGTGAGCAGGATTTGTAATTGTCAAATGTTACAAAAGCAACACGGAGTGTATATCACACTCAACAAGAAGTTAAAAAGTACAGTGACTTTGACATTTCACAGGAAGTTGGAATTTTTTTTTACATCAAAGAAAAAGTATAGAAAATAACTTAAGTTTCAGAAAACATGAAGTATGGAGAAAACTTTTAACTTTGAGTGAGTTGGGTTTGGCTGAGGTTTTTATATTTATCAAATATTAACACCTTCACATGGAAGAACACCAAAAGTGCTTTTCACTTTGATGCTGTATGAGACTGAGTGTTGATTAGGACTGTTTGGTTGCAGCATTGTCAGGGTATTTGCCAGGAATAAAGAAATGTCCGGTGTGTCACTTATGTTTTCTTGTTGCGTTCCTCTTCAAAATACTTTATCTATCTTAGCTTTTCGTGTTTCTGTGACAGTTAGTCTAATCTGATCAACAGAATGACAGAACCATTTCTTGTAACACTTTCTGTTGTGCCTTTACCATTGTATCTGTGTGTTGAAAGGAAACCCAGTGTGTTGTTGTATTATCAGTATAGCCAGGGTATTATGTTGGTGTGCTTACATCTTCTGTTGTATCGTTACATATAATGCTGTGTTACCCAGGTACAACATTAACGTTGTTCTGTTAAGTGTCATGTCATATGGCCCAAGTATAATGTTGTCTTAGACAGGTATATTATGTTGTATTGCACTGGAAAAATGTTCATTTGGCCAGGTATAATGTCATATTGCCAATGTATAGTGGCGTATTATGCAGGTTTAATGTCGTATTGTGCAGGTGTAATGTCATATTGTCTTGGTATAATGTCATGTTGTCAAGGTATGATATTGTATTATCCAGGTATAATGTCATAATGCCCTGGTATTATGTCATGTTGTACTAACTAAAATGCTGTACATGGTACCAGTAACATAACGTTATATTGGTTGAATCTGGTTTAATCAATGTCCCTGGTTTTAGAAAGTTGACCCCAGAGAACATGTGGCAGGTAAAGAAAGGGCTGCTATGGTTTACAGATATACATTAGCAATCTCGTCACATCTACACATCTTTATTTTTACACACTCTGTTTCGGAAGCACAGGAAGTCACGCGGCGCGTGACTCACACATGTGTGCCGGGTCTGCTGTTGGAGAACTCAAACATCCAACAGCTTCACGTTTCTCTAGCAACGGGAGCTGTCTTTAAGTGCAAGAAAACTGTTTTTGCGTTTTGTGTTCAAATCTGATGTACATACTCATATGAGCTGTTTGGACAGTCTGTTAAGTGCCTGAATGGCTTGGCAATATGGTCAACTATGATTTATGGTGGGGGAAAGAAGATAAATTGTTGTTCTGAGCATATTTCTATAAAAAAATATTTGTTTAGTGACATGTTAAGAAAGATAGGGGCATCTTTGAGCATCAAAGTTTTTTGTACAAGCACTAAAAAAAGAAAGATATCAGTGAAAATTTCAATATTAGGATCAGATATAATGAAAATAAGATTAAAAAGTGTATGAACAAAATAAGATTAACATTAAGTGTGTGCTCTAGTTTCTGTGTTTCTAGGCTTTGCACTGAATAGGAAAAATAGGTGACCTACATCCAATATCAAAATATTTAGAAATATTGTATATGAATAATAAACACAACACATTGACACTTAAACATGTTCAAACCCATCGGCCTACAGTTGTCTCGTGTCTTACACACCCCTCTTCCTTAAACTTGAACTCTTCTCCATATTGTCTTGTGACTGTTCCATATTAGCTGGAGGGTGTACATTTCAAGTGCGTTGTTTAATGTTGCAGCTAAGTAGTCCCTGGTCTATTTATTCAACTCCGCCCAACATGCCCGTTACTTTAGGATTACATCTGGATGCCAAACTTTGAGGGAACAATCTGATTGGTCCACCATGACTCAGTTCTGGTGTTCGTGTTGTCGATTGTATTGTCGTTTATGGCGCTTCGGTTCAACAGTGGCGCTACTTTCAAAATAGAATTGTTAGTCACCTGAAAACCGTTGTTCCTGTAAGTAATAACATGAGGCAGAAGCTGTATATATAAGACTTGTCACCAAAAAACGAGAACATTTGTTGTGCTTGAAGTTGAGTTTAAAATATGAAGAACCCTCATACCCTTATCAAGGAATTCCTCAAGGTGAGATGCTAATATTTACTTTATAAGTTAAAATTTTATAATAATCATATTTGATTTTATAGTTCTGTCATTTTGCAGATTAATTAGATTATTTGATGTGTCACTACTTATATTTCAATATGTTGGACCGATATAAATCAAGTTAGAGTTCAACAACTCTCATGTGTGGAGACTTGCAAATACTGTCTGAAGTAAATGTGTTTAAGAAGAAATGCTGATTATGTGAATTTGCTTGATTTTTGTCACCTTTTCAAATATTTGAGATCTGTAAGAAATGGAAATAATACCAGCACTTGTACACAAGTTCATGTAGCTTGTTGACAATGATTTGAAGTAACACAAATTGATTTATGGATTTAGCAACACCTCAAGACATGGCCATGCCTGTCAGAGTGAGTGTACAGATGATCAATCCAAACCCAGCCAGTCGATCAAACAGAATTTATGACTGTATGTCTGTGGTATTTGATACTTTCAACAATAATAACAATATATTTTTACTTTTTTAAATCTAAATTTATGTGGTTAGCAGTATAATGTAAGGACAAGTTTGAATAATACAGCTGTATAAACATTTTCTGTTAATATCAGTTTTGTATTTGAATGGTATTTAGACGTGATACATATAAAAGCGAGAATTAATGGATGTCAACTTTGTTGTGTGGAACACCATGGTTTGGAGCATATGAAGGAGTAAGAATATGCTCCAAAACGACATGTTCCTCAAAATAAGAAGTTGACATCCATAAATTCTCATCTTTATATCAATTTCGTAAAAATTGTAAGTACTCTTATGCTGTTGAGTTGTCTATTAATGATAAATATATCCAACTTTGTCAATACCTACATATATTATATATATATTGTAATTAGATATTGTAAATGCTGTAGAGAGGCTCTAAGTAGAAGAACATATCCCAGTCTGTTTCACTACGTCATCCACCAAGCATCATATTCTCCAAGATCTTGTATCACTCTGATTTCTTAACAAGACCGTCAGTAGGACTGCTGCGGCAGAAGGGTATAAAGATTATATTTATTGCAGGAAGTAAAACTCCCGACTGCTGCAATGCGTAATTAGCAAGACTCATATGTTGCTTTTTAGTTCTGGATAAATGTTTCTGAAGAGGTAATATTTCTTGTGGGCAAATATGATAAGCCTCAGCCATGTTGTTATGAAAGCAAAGGAAATGGGTATTGCTTGGTTTGAGAGTAATTTCGTTGCTGTTGGTTAATTAGACGTGTGGTCTTAAGGGCACCATACACTTTCACGAAGGGAGGCATTAGAAGGAATGAAGGGTTTTGATAGACTCTAAAAGGTAATTGCTAATGAATGTGGAATTGGTAAATAATTCGCTGTGTTGATGTTGGTATGTGTTCAAAGGTAAGATGAGATATTTAGTTTGTAACATTCCACTCAGAAGCGGGCAATACTCTACTAACAACAAATATATGCACAGTAAATACAAAATACGTAGATTCTTTTCATATGAACAGGAGGGGCGATAGGGTAGCCTAGTGGTTAAAGTGGTTGCTCATCATGCTGAAGACACGGTTCGATTCCTGACTCCAATGCTCAAAAGGTTTTCGAAGACCTGGGTTTGATTACCTAAATGGTACAATGTGTGAAGCCCATTTCTGATGTCTCAAGCCTTGATATTGCTGGAATATTGCTAAAAGTGGTATAAAACCCAACTAACTCACTCACTCCTAGTGGCAATAAACCCAGCCGAAATATTACTGGAATGTTGCTGAAAACAGCGTAAAAACCATACTCACTCACTCATTCAGTTGAACTGTAATTTTCAAACAAATGTAATATAATGAAATGGAAACAATATGAGAATTCAGCAAAAACTGTTGTAATGTAACATACAAATTATTTAGAATTGTAGAGAATATGGATGTTTGAAATTGTTCTGTATAACAACTGTAGGTGTCATGTAGTGTAATTGAACAGCAATAGATGAGGCTTCAGGGGTGATGTGGGCATGTTTTTTTCTGCAGACTAAATGTTTTTTACTCCCACTTGTTTTCTTAATCAAGTCTGTGTTCATCTAATGTAATATTATTCAGTGACACTGAGAGTGTGAAACTTAAAAACTCTGGCTTTTCACAAAAATTGAAGTTAAGTCGATTAGGTTGCAAGAACATTGAGCAAGAACTTTTGTCAAATTCACTTTTATTCACTTAACATACAACAGCCTCATGCTTAATTTCAAACCTTACGTAACTTTATGTATGAGAAATAAAAACACATACATGAAGTTACTCTGGATTCTAAGAATTTTCTGAAGTCTTATTCATAAAAACTATAATTAACCCAGAATTAACCTTAAATATGGTGGAAATTCCCTCTAAGAGTTTCTTTCAGAGTACTTTCACTTGTCTTACAGCTAAAGTTACTGTCAGAGCTAGTAAAACTGCACTCCTAAGTGTAACTCTTAGCAAGTTCAGAGTGTTCAAAGACCATTCTGAAAATCTTTGTGAATAACAGCCCCAGTTTATTTGAGAAGAAATAGTGAAGATGTAGATCAGAATGCTCCACAATTGCCTTCATGTCGTATATCCGACTATGATCATCTACAGTGTTGCACATACTCATGCCATCCCAGAACATACTAGCAGCTTACCTTCTCCCACATGCACTAAGCTTAATGAATTTATCTCCTTAATTTGTCTGGATGTTCATTCCCTCCACGTAGAGGCTTCTGTGGGCTGAAGAATTGCCAAACCATTTTATCTTTGTGGGATGCACGTTCTGTCTCCTGCTAACCAGATCCCCAGACTTTTTGCCCAATTTGGTAGGTCTTCAATTAATAGTTTCCAGCAGTTTGTTGATGTAAGTCTTCTATCTGAAAGGAAACATCACGCCTTGTGTCAGGCTGCTTGAATATGCAGAAACAGGGCCCTTGTAGTTTGAGTTTGGGTATTGAACATGGATTCCAAAGGATTCACTGTCTGATGAGGGATTATATGGTTAATGGTGTTGTCTTATCTTCTCTGTGATTGTATTATTGAAAGTTGGGTATATACTTGTAGGATATATACTGTGAAATATATACTTGAGGTTTAACTTGTGGGATATATGCTGTCATATACATTAAGTTTAATCTTGTAGGATACATGCTATGATAAACACTAAACTCTGCATTTTGTAACCAATAGTTGTACACATAAATATTTCAAAATGTCTATTGATAAGGGAAGAAAGGGAAAGTGTTTCTGTAGATATCTTAGGTACCATTGTTCTTTGTTCATTGTTCTGAGGAGGATGTGGAATGTGTGGTTTTCCAGCATTGGCAGTGGATGGATGGGTTTAACTGTAGATGTATTGTTATGTATATTACGTAACATGTCGTGGTGCACGGTTTATTGCATGCAATGCATGTATAATGTGGTGTATGTATTGTACTGGCTTTAAATGTATTGTAGTTGACAGTGGGTGATATATGGTAGATGTGTGATATTTTGATATATGTACTATCTTACAATAGGCTATGCATTGAATATGTGTGATATTGTACAGTGGACCTTGTGTTATAGACTATATGTTGAATATGTGACATTGTGATATGTATAGTACATGTGTCATATTGTACAGTAGGCCATATTTTTGTATGATATTGTACAATAGCTTGTATATTGCATATGTGTGATATTGTACAATAGCTTGTATATTGCAAATGTGTGATATTGTACAATAGCTCGTATATTGCATATGTGTGATATTGTACAATAGCTCGTATATTGCGTATGTGTGATATTGTACAATAGTTCATCTATTGCATATGTATGATATTGCACCAAAGTTCATTTATTGCATATGTGTGATATTGTACAATTATATGTGGAATAGTAAATCCATGATGCATGCAACATATGTATGTTATTGTGACATTGACCAGTGTATATTTGTGTTATTCTCTGCCATCATCATTATGTCACCATGTCACCATTCTATCATATCTTCATGACCATGAACTTCCTTTTTTCCTTCCAATCACCATCATCATCTTCTCCAAGACAGGGACATAATTTTACAGTGTTTTTACATGGATAAGAGATGCATCTTCAGCAGATAGCCACAAGATCTGTACCAATGACTTTAATATCTTAAATCCTTGAATAAATGTGTGCCTTCAGTAGCTCCCTATTTGATAAAATGCCTGGGGAAAAGTTCCCTGTAAAAATTGATTACATAATAGTCCCCTTCCATATGTAAGTACATCTTCAATGCCGTAGTTTCAGTTAGTGGGGGGTTGATATGACTGAATGTTTAATATCATAATCAAACTTTTAATCTTTTTAAAGTATATGAAACCAAATTTAAAAAAATTAAATTCTAATGCCTCTCGGATTCAGATTCAGAATGTTTGGAAACAAAAGATCCAACACTTATTCAAAGATTTATGGTACAGTGGTTTCGAACTATTTGAAAACTGACGGTTTGTTTTGTGCGCTATCGATTCAGCACGTCCATATTTGTACTAATGATGTGCTACCTGTGCCTGTTGTAGATGCATGCACATGTACTTGCACATCTCATCAAGATAAAGGAGGGATTAGATAAAGAAAATGTTCCCCTTGTAAGTGTTGCAGACTCTCTTTCTTCTATCTTATCTCAACCCTCAACTCTTTCACCTCAATGTGTGGGGCCCTTTCTTGGACATTTTGTTTGTTTATTTCTAGTATGATTTTCATTAAATTTTTATCTTTAGCTTCTTATGGAAACCTAAAAAATCATCCATTCCTAGAAATAATGTACATTTTCATATACATGTGTGATATTAAACAATTTTTGAAAAGTTTAAACATTTTCAAGTATTAAGAGATTGTGTTATATACAAGGGAAAGGTTATTTTTGAGGGATAATTCATCTTATTATCTGGCTGTATTATGAATGTATCAGCTGCATTATAAATGGATGGGTCAGGGTTCAACACTACTACTAGCCTCAAATTTGTGAAAATCATGAAAGTGTGATATAGCACTAATGATGTCATCATCGATTAACTGAAGTAGTTTGAAAGAATGGGGTGTTCTTAACTTCTACTTCTGTTTATGATAATTACATAACCCTTTTTCTGAAACTTTAGACTTAAGATTTAACACATGGCATATGGTAAGATGATTCTTGTTATTTTTGTCATCATATATTCTTGTATACCACCCACCTTTTTACAGGGATAGTGCTTTCACGCTGCTTACTTACTATCCCAGTATCCTTATCAAAAGTTGGGTAATATACATCCATTTCTCTCTCTTTGCCCTTTGTGGTGCATTGTTTATTCAAGGTGAAGGTTTATGATGGTTTGGTTAAAGAGTTTAGATCCATGCTGTTCGTTAGATGATTTAATTTGTTGTTTTTTCCTGGTGTTTATGTTTTGTATCTCAGTTCCTTCTGGTGTTGGCAAGTTAAGTTATTTTTTATTGCCCATTTCAGATTTAAGAGTTTTTCAGATATTCCTTGCTCATGCAGGAGTGGAATATTGTTCCGATTACATGCTAGATTTGCTATCTTATTGCAGCCTTATGGAAATGAACTGCTTGACATTTCTTAATCACAAACATTTTCCACCCACAATAAACCTAGAATAACCTCATCCAGGATGTTGTAGTGGTCTAAACCTGGATTATTTAATCATATTGGATGTACTGAGCTCCACCTAGGCGGAAGGGAGGCACCGGGGAAGGAAACAAATCATGTGGCTTCTTTTAAGGGGTGGTGTCAAAGATTTTGTTCTATACATCTGACAAGTACAGTTATTTCATTAACAGATTAAACTAGTGTTTCTATTAAGTTGATATATCAAGTGACAAACATAAGCAATAAGTCAGTGAATTATAACAAGTATTATGACACTAAAATATTCCTAAATGTTCAAAAGGCATTATGATTTTGTATATGGTCCCCTAGAAGCCATCTTTGAAAGCTTACCCAGTGTGTTACTGTAAGGGGTCCAGATAATACTACTTTCATTACAACTCATCTTGACCTTTCTAACATACCAAGTGTTGTGGACTGGACCTTCTGATACTGCTTGGGTGGAAACCACTTCTAGGGGTTATAAATGTTGGGACTTGTCTCCTGACTGATAACCCTGATTCATTACTTCATAAATTTGGTGTGTACGCGTGGAATTAATGTTTGCATCAGTGAATTGATTCCGAAGTCTTTATCAATATGACGATAATGAGCATATTTTCCATACATATAATAGCAGTATTTCATGAAATCTTGGAGAAATTAAACAGGCATTTGAATTTGTTTAAATGTTTTGCCTAAGTCAAATGATTTAATTTGAAAAAAAAAAAAAAAATCCATGTCAAATCCTGTTTTGTTTGCTGCTACTTAGGAAGCTGTGTGTAGAATATCAGTTACAAGGAATTGTTGTCGCCAGAAAACAATATACACCCACTTGACACTGGACAAAGTTCATCAGGAAGAATAATTTCCTGACAAATTGCTGTATGTAATCAACTGCCCTGTTGACCTAGCTTGCCTCTACCAAGGTCGTTTGAGCGGGGTGGTGGCAATGCAAGACTTGGCTGCAGTCAGAAATGATGGCATAGTCTTTCGGCCATTAAGTATTTTCTGAAATGTCATCCAGATATTATAAACATTATTTAGTCTGACCCTATATGTCATAGTTAAGAGGGGCAGTGGGGTAGCCTAGTGGTTAAAGCGTTGACTTGCCACACAGAAGACCCGGGTTTGATTTCCCACATGGGTACAATGAGTGAAGCCCATGTCTGGTGTCCCCCGCCGGGATATTGCTGGAATATTGCTAAAAGTGGCGTAAAACATGCTCACTCACTCACTCATTCTACTTTCTATACTCTCTCATAGTGAAGACAGAAATATACAACCGGTTGGAGAATGTTGCACTCATTGTCAGAGGGAATTCTGGAAGCTGGTTGTTGAGGGCTTGAGAGGCTCAGGTGGACAGGTGGTATGGGTATGTTCACCGAGCCTTATTAACGGTTTTACCACCCTGCTAGTTCGCTGGTAAGAAATGTATAAGAAATTACACAAAATTCATAGCAAGCTGGCGGGGAAGGTAAAGATCAGCCCTTAAGCTCTAGTGGTCTCCCACTTTGATACTGTGTCAGCTTCTTCTAATCAAAAATGGCCCTCCCTTCTAAATGAATTATGTTGATAGTAGTGGATTGGAATTCATTTTGACAATTGGGGTTTTCTTTCCAACATGGGAAAAGAAAGTTAAGTGAAAGTTTTATTGAAACTGTTTCTGGACTTCAGTTTGTGATCAGCTGAATGTTAACCTGAATCAAATAGTCTGTTAGATTCTCATCGGTGAATATTCCCTATGTAGATGTTCACGACAAGAATGAAAGTAGTTCTGATGTTTGGGCTGATGGGCAGACAAGGGAACAAAGTAAAATCTTTTTCATTACAAGCCTCGACTTCGGAGAACATCAGAAGTCAGAGAGTTTGTGTCTTCACAAAATAACAGTTCCTTCAACATCTGCAAATACCATCCTGCACTTGAAGATGTTCCAGTAGGATCATGTCTGGCTCGAGACTGCCTGCTCTCTATGTTGACTCACCAATGAAAACACAGGCAAAGTAGACATTAATGACTGCGACCTTGAACTTCCTCATGCTGCATGTCTTGCATGCTTGGTTTCCAAGCGAAGTTAACGTGCCAGTGTCTCTGTCAGGCTCATCTCCCCTCTTCTCCTTGATGGTAGAAACACAATGTAGACAGTACGTCTGCTCCTCTCTGTCGGCCATGACACTTCCAGATGCTACTTTGCCAGGTGTGGACTCAAGAGGTTTAGCGGGACACATCCTGTGGGATTTTATATCAGCCGAATCATCTCCCTTGGGGCTGGGAATGCTAATGAAGAATTCCTGAAATCATTTGCGATAATGAAATGTCATTATGAATGAAAAAGAGAAATATTTTGGGAATAATCTATTTAGTAAGGATTCTTTAGAATGTTCTGTCTCAGAGTTATTTTTGTATTATTGGTATTATTTCCCAAATCTCATAATCATGGTGTTGAAGCTTTAATTGATGCTGATGTTCGCAGTAATAGATTCCAGGTGTCCAGAGATTCAGATCGTCAAGACTACCTCAATGAGACTCCAGGACCCACATTAATCTTCATCACTGAAAATCACAATCTTTGTTATCTGGAATGTTTTTTTTATTGTGCTTACAAATTAAATACAAGTCATTTTTTTAAATATCTCTTTTTGTGTGGACAAGCACAGAAATCATCTTTTGCTACATAAACTAAACACTTAAAATTGTTAAAAATGTACTGTCATAGGATCATTATTGTGGTATAATTCAAATTTGTAGCCACAAATTGTGTTAAAGTGGATGATGTGTTTGTCCACCTTCACTAATACCCCTGATTCTATTGTATGTAACAAGATTCTTCCCGAGTCTGACTATACCCTCTAATCCCTTAGAGGACATGACCCAATTCCTCCAGCTTGCTTACATTCATGGACATTATTTGAATTGCAATCAGTGGATTAATCCTCCTTATACTAAGGAAGCAAGTTCCAGCTTTAATCCTCGACTAGTGTCGGAGACCTCGGCCCTGCAAACACATTTTGAGCGAGAGTAATTAGAGAAAAAATACTTCTCCAACCTAACGGCAGCCGCGACACGGCTCTATGACGTCAATGAAGATGATTTGAGAGAATTGATCATTCCTTGGAAGGTTTCTCTCTAGACACTTTCTTCCTTAACTCTTATACTGATAGGCAGAACTAATGCTTATTATTCAGGGCCTGCGTGATGTTTATGCTGTAACACTCGTATTTATGAGATGGCGAGCAGTGATAGTTGATGGTCAGAAAGGGTTAGTCGACTCATGTCATTCTTGTCTCTCTTGTCTCATACATGGATTTGGAAGCCAGTGATCAGGTGTCGTTTGTGTGGGAGTCAGTTCTTAGGATTGGAAATTGTGGAACACTGTTTTCCATTAACAAGCGATGTGTTGTTGAAGTTAATTCATTTTTGCAGTAATATGGTGTGATTAATAAGACTCGAAATATCTCCTTCATTTGAAGTTTTAGTGTCATTTTAAAACTTTGAGACTTCTACTGGGAATAATCGTGTCACCGAAATTGTTTCTTGAGGGTTTAGCGGATTTCAAAGTCACTAAGCTGAGGAAGGCTGACTCGGTTTAATTTAGGTGGTATCTTCTTTTCACATCTGGAGATGCCCGAATTAATGAAGAAAAAATTACTTTAAATTTTGAAAACAGTTGTGATTGTAATACCAGCATCTGTGGTTAACTTCTAGATGCTTTCGTAAATATTGGTTGTCAGTTTCATTTTACAATATTGGTGATATCAGGAAGACATATATATCTTCATGGAAGTTATTTTTAGTCAGGTTTAATGTTAGGCAGTTCTATTTTCAGTGTGGCAGTTCAATTTTCAATATGGCTGATACCATAAATCTGTGAATAGACACAATGTCACAAACATGACAAATGGAATAGAGGCCAATTCTGTGACGTTAAAAGCTGGCCATGTTTAGATTATTACAATGCCCAAAATAGCAAAAGATGGAAATATTCGTGTTCATGTGTTGTCGGTTTTAGCAGCCAATGAAAAAAAAAAAATGGTAAAAATGGTATTGTATTGAGCTAAACATGATGAGCTGTTGTCGTTTTAAGGTTTACAGTACCCTCATTTCCAAGAAATTCTTTTATAGAAATGATTTATTTTTAGATTCAGAGATGCCAACCCATACGATTTTATCATCGTATTCGTTATGAATAACAACACAAAATACGAGACTACGATAGCAGTAAAAACATACAAATTAAAAAAAATAATACATTAAATTAAATTATCAAATGGCATACATACCATACACAATAAATTTCAACCACATTTTATTCAGTATCAAGCTATATGTGGATACTTACTACTGATTTAGGTGAGTACAATGTTAATAACAAGGTCTTAGACAATATATTTACATATTTTATTTAATATGGAAATTCTTTGGAAAAGTTAATACTAATTTTGGCCCAAAAATACTAATTTGTGCATCAGTTTTTGGCCAAAATACTAATTGGGCTAAATTAGGGCTGGCATCTCTGTAGATTCTAATATCAATCATACTGTGTCTTGTGTTAATATATATTCTAAATATCTAGGTGAACTATATTTTGTTGAGTTAGATTTCTACCCATCCTATAATCAGTCAGCAACGCTTGACACTTGACATCTACAAGTTGTTCAGGTCCCTAGGGATACATTTTACATCAACAAGTTAAGACCTCAAGGGGGAACACTTGACGTAGAGTCCCGTCATTAGATTACCCTATTGAGCACAGTCTAGGGGTCCAGCCTTCTCCAGGTGGTCAGCTTCTAGTTAGACATCATTATAGTGCTCCCAATTTGTCACTAGCGTTTGATCTAGCGCCACTATCATTAACTGTAGGGGAAGGAAAACATATTCTTGATTGCAGTGGATGCCCATATTTGCTTATCACCCGCGGCCGATTCTTTGAGGTGAGATTGGACAACCATATTCGTGACGATTCTGCTGTGGTATAAATCTCCTTCATTGATTCTCACTTCTTGGCGCTTGTTTTTAAAAAGATAGATCTGAAATTGGTGCCATGGTTCCCATTTCTGTTAATACCATTGTCTGAGAGGATGGATTTTAAGTTGATGTACCTTGTTGGGCTTCTAGAAGATTGTCAGGTAGACTTGTCCTGGGGCATGAGTTGCCCTTTGGTGTGGTCATGGTATAGCCCTGTGGTGGAAGGTGCAACTTCGCAGGCATCATTGGTTGTGATTTGAATCCCAGATTTGCCATAAGTTTGATCTGTCACGTCATCTGTGATGAAGGGTTTCACTGATGAGTTATACGCTTAGGATTCACATCACTCCAGGCTTTCCAGTGCCATTAAGCTGACACACCGTGATATAACTGAAATACTGTTTGATGCGGTGTTAAACAGAACTTATTCAATCACTGTTTGACCATTGGTTTGTGTAGTCCAGGTGCCTTAGCAAGCTGCTGTCATTGTTTTATTACCATTATACCACACATTTATAGATCACACTTATTCTGTCCAGGCACTTGTGTCTGTTGAAATTGTTTATTTATGGAAAATATTGTTGCCCACGACCTCAAACCTCAGCCACTCACTCACATCATTGTGCCCCATGTCTTAACCACTGGGGCGGTGGGGTAGCCTAGTGGTTAAAGCGTTCGCTTGTCACGCCGATGACCCTTGTTTGAGTCCCCACATGGGTACAATGTGTGAAACCTATTTTTGCTGTCCCCCGCCTTGATATTGCTGGAATATTGCTATAAGTGGCGTAAAACCATACTCACTCACTGAAGCATTGTAGTTTGCTGTGCGGAGTTACATCCCTTAGGTGTGCCAGGTGCCAGGTCCATGGTTCAAATCCAATTACATTTCCAGGGTTTTCAGCACCATACTTCTTCTGTGGAAACATTTAAGACCTGCATCACTTTAGCTCTCTTCCCACATCAAGTTGATACTCTGTGATATAACTGGAACACTGTTTAATATGGAGTTAAACCCAGCATATCAACTCATTTTATAGTTGCCATTGTTTGATAGGATCTGAAGTCAGTGTCACATGATGTTCACTCTTATTAAAAATTTCAGAAATTGAAGCAAGAAGTAAATGTGTTATCTTGTTAGAAAGTTACAGTCTTCTCTCCAGATTCTGAATTAGTGCATTCAATGTTGCACAGCTATAAACATTTGCCGATAGTAAGGAGATGTGAAGATTCTGTGACGCACTAATGTGCCATGGAAGATTAGAGTTGACATCAGTCATACAAAGAACGTCGCTTGTAAAGTTCTCAGGGTGACAGTTGGAGTGTCCTCGGGACAGTTGTAGTGATTTAACTCAGTCAGGTTTTCTATTCATTCAAAACTTTGAAAAACGGCCATTGTGCACAGCCTGAATTTTGTGATGAGACAAACCAGGATATGCAAGAAAACAACTTTAAAAACATGAAGTTAGCTTGGATCTTATTTTGTGTGTATTGCGTGATGTACCCTGGTCGTTACATTCTTGTTTTGTCTACATCAAGCTTAAGAGCTAACACTAGGAATGTCACGACACAGGTGCTTCATGATATGATACATATCTCGATACTGAGGTCCTGATACGATACGTATCGTGATACTACATTTCCGACATATTGTTTGTAACAAGCAGCCATTACCTGGATACCTTGTTCTGTAGAAGAAAATTACAAGAGACAATGTGATAAGCTCACTGTTTTATGATATATCCTGTTTGTATTTGACAAAACAAGAAATGCAACATCACCATAATAATTGTTATATGTCAGTTTCTGAATCTATAATAAAACAAATCATATTGTGCATCGGTGAATCGTGACATTACAAGCTATCACTATTGCCCAGCCTGTAGATCTTACACGACCATTGAAAGAAGTCCACAGCACTACTCCAATCTCAACCAGTCAGTACCAGCCCAATCCAGTTAGACTATCGTGATTAAGAAAACACCTGACTACAACTTAAAACATTCCTTTTCACAACAGTCTCACTTCAGTGTTCGTTTTCTCCATCCAAGCCTTGCTTCTGTTTGTGAAAGATCACAGTGATCAGAATACTAGATATTTCTGGAGTGGGTATTTACAAGTGTGTGCAGCTCTTACACATGTAGGCCACACATCACATCAAGCTGACGCCAAAACAAACTAGAAACTAACACTGAGTATATAAATTAGTGGACATCACATTTCAGCTTCAACAGCTGCTGGTAGGAGTTTTTATATCCCGAACTCCCATTACATGATCACATCTATTTCGGTCCCTATCTTCATGCACCTAGGTACTACTATCTTGAGGACTATTTTCAGATGACTGCTTTTAAGTAAGATCAGTTAAATGTTATGATGAGAAAACCACTCACTGGAGTCATATCTGAGTTTATGAAGTTAGGGGTGATGGAGTGGCTGAGTAACCATTTTCTGAACGGAAAGATGTTAAGAATAATTTATGTGACATGTGTATGATTAGGTTACATATATGTTTTCTTGTGTTTTGTCAGTATTTCATAAAAATTTTGCCTGAAAGTAGAGTCAAATGAATTTGACAACTGTAACTCGCAATAAAATAATAAACTTTTGACATAAGAAGTTGTAAGATCATTTTCACTGAGGCATCGTAGCTATAACCATTGTATGTTCTCTGCTTGGGCATTATTGCTTTGTACAAGAGGACCTCTTTCATTGTATAAAAGCAGTGTAAAACCATACTCACTCGTGCACACAAGCATGCACACGCACACTCACTCACTCACTCACACACATATGCTCACTCACCCACCCACTCCCTCACTCAAAACATTCACTGACTCACATACCCACCCATCCCCTTGCTCAGTATTATTCCACAAAGCCATTTTAATACTATAAGTGGTAGGTCTATGTTAAAGTATCGACTTATGATCATGTCATCGCTAAGATCACTTTGTGGATCACTTTTCACAATGTTTTTAGCCTTAAGACAACTCACATAAAATAATAAATGTTTTTCGTAAGGATTGGTAAGATCACTGTCACTGAGTGATCATAACTACGACTATTGTAAGTCGTCTGATCGGATGATATTGCTTAGTACAAGAGGACCGCGTTGATTGTATATCATAGTTCCCTGAAGGCACAGGACACTGCTGATAACATCAGTCACTAGGTGGCGTCTTCCAGACTTCATTACATACAGGCGACAGTGTTATAGTTGGAGTGTTGCTGTGTCCCTAACAATAAGTAACCAGTTATATACATGATCTAATAACATCTTACATGAAACACCGCCGCTATATAGCTGGAATATTGCTGAGTGCGGCTTAAAACTAAACTCACTCACTCACTCACTCTTAGATGGAAAACATTACAATTTGTTAATATTCTTACCCCTCCTGGTATCTCCCAAATAGTATGAACATTAATGGCTGGTTGGGATGTAACTGATGATATCAACCTCTGGGTCAAGGTTCCATTATTTGCAGGCCACTGGCATGTAGATAGAAAACTGATGTGGCCTGGAAAAAGAAACAAAATGAATGGACGAGAGTTTTTTTCGTAGATTTGGGAATGTTGATTTTATGTTGACAAGGATTGGGGTTTATGTTGATGTAGGATGTATTAGAGGGGATGTACTGAGGGTACTGAGGGGATGTACTAGAGGGTATTTTGTGTGCAGGGATTTAGGAACTTTGTTGTCATGGTAATAAGTCTGTCCTTGATGTATATACTTTTAACAATGGTTGTTTTTGTTGTTTCAGGAGGAACAAAGAGCACGATTAAAAGCAGAAAAAATTAGAATAGCCCTCGAAAAAATAAAAGAAGCCAAAATAAGAAAGGTGAGTTTGAGTATAGGTGTTTAAATATATAGATGTTCAGTAAGTGGTGAATTGGTTACTTCATAGGCCTTACCATAGTATTTGAATCAGTGGTTGAGTGATGAGATTATGTTTTTTAATAAATTTAAAGGACAACAATGTGTGTCATGGATAAAATGTTAAAGTGTCACCCTGTTATTGACTGTTTTGTCTCTTCCACTTGTCCCCACGCAATGTATCGAGGTGCCCGACCTGTCTAGCATTGAGACAAACGTACACAAACATTTACATTCATAAAATAGTTATTTCTTCTGATAATGTATATCAATTAAATGAATCCAAAATTAACTTCATATGAGTAAAAATTAACCAAAGGTTCCCCTGCCATATATTAGTACTAGATGTTAGATTGGATATGTCATATACATAGTTTGACTCCCTTGAAGATCGTACCAGTATTTGCATACATTGTAGCCAGTTGTCTCTCATTGGGTCTGTTGTACCAAGAATGGGGCATTGGGGATCCATACTATTTTGCAGACCCTGTAAGAATATTATAGGTATTCTTAATAATTCTTTGTTGATTTTTCTTGTAGAGGTTAGTAAATGCTTTAATCTAGGCAGCCATATGTTATGTATGGGTTTGAGGATGTATTCCTTCCAGAGTTACCTCCCTTCACAGGTTGAACACTGTGGATTTTCATTGTTGTTCATGGTCCACTTATCGTCAGTTGCAGACCAGAGATCATCTTCTACTCTTGAGATATGATCTGAACTCAAACAGAATAGGGTGGCACAGTGGGTACTGCACTGGTAACTCAAAGTCAGGATCTTTTCAGTTATGGAGTAGACTAACACACTTAGTTAATTTTGATTGTAACAAATAAACCCATTTAAATTGGTTCAGGAACTGTGAGACAGACTAAAGCTTTCACTGACACAACATATATTTGTACTCAGATATTTTTTTCATTATTCCTTTCAGTTATTTGTCCGGGCGTTTGCGAAAGATGGAAGCAGCAAGAGTATACTGGTGGACGAGAAGATGGCTGTCGGTCAAGTGGCCAGCGTTTTGGCAGACAAGAACCATATGAAGTTGAACACAAACCTCACTGTTATAGAACACATGCCGGACCTTCTAATGGGTAAATACCAAGACCAGCTGTTATTAGAGATGAGGGATATTATTTCTTCCATTATCTTGAAAAGATTGACATGAAAAGTTTTTATTAAGAAGTTAAGCACACAACCCGGACTGCCATAATTGATCTCCTTTAGGTTTTATACTTGAAATACTGTTAGTGATACATTTTAAGTGATGCATAAGTTATCAGCTCAGAGGCAGACACAGTATGTTATATTCCCTAGGGTGCAGGCCTTAGTGTTGTGTACTGTAAGGTATAAACTATAACTGTAGCAAATGCCAGGCTTTCTTTCACTTCTAAACAAAATAGAATTCAAGCAGATCTTTGTGTGTTAATCCCTCCAATTTTTTAAATCTTTTTTAATTTTACAAATGAAATACCCCAGATGCCTCATTGGGGATTGTGATTCATAATTTTGCTGCCAGTTTAGATGACACTCAAACGAAACACGTCAATCATTAGTTGTGACAAATCTGACAGTGTGTTTCTGGCTAATTACCTTGTTAGATGTCCTGGACAACTAATTGTCACGCTTGGAGCAATGCGTCTCTCTGGAAATTGGAATGTGACTCACTTCAATCAGTCCTATGACTAGCATGCGGGCAACGTGGCAATTCGAGATTTCCCCCCTTTCAAACAGTGTTCAGTGCTGAGGAATTAATTGAAATTCTTCCGTTAATAGAATAAAAAACTGTTTGTGTCAGAAATAACCTCTATGGTTTTATTTATAATAATATATTATTGTGTACATCTAGGTAGAATTGATTTCAAAGAAAAACAAAGTGTTTCTTTTAATATTATTATTGCTTATTTGTAGGTGGAATTGTTAAAAAAGAATGACAAATTGTTTCTTTCAATATTGTTATTGCTTATTTGCTAACAAAGAATGACATAAAGCAGTATTATAACGTTAAGATACCAGGTAATAAGAGCTGGGTCATCTTTGTGTCACTGATACTCACGTTTAACAATTCTCAGTCATAGCAGTTCTCATCCAAGTGTCTTTTGAAGCCAAATATAGTTCACTAAAACACTTGATTCTTGCATGTTACTATAACTTATATTGCTTTCATATTCTCGACAATGACAGATAAATTAATGTGAAAGATTTGGATGGTCAGTAGCTTATTTTGAGTAGTATATCAAGTATCTTCCCTTCCTATTGATGGTATTACGTGTTAAGACTTGTACAGTTCCCTCAATCTGGCAAGCACCTGTCCTAGCTTCTCCATTGTTTTCTGATACAGTCATTGTGTTCGTGTGTCAGTAATAGGATCAGTGCCTTGTATCGGTTTTCCAAGACAGTAGTCCGGTTTCATTCAGCGCCACGTCTCCCTGTGGTCCTGTGATGATGTCCAAAGGGGCCAAGGATGACTGACAAAGAATATTGATCTTCAGAGACAAAAAAGAACTCGCCAGCAATTTAATTTCTGATCGTCTTCACAGATGTCGAAGTGACATTTTAGAGCTGACCTGGGTCAGAAACTCCCGTTGAATTTTTGGCCAGAAAAATGTTATTGGATCTTTATTCTGCTTTCATTGTTTGAGGAATTCTCCAATCAATAAAGGGGGCATCTCTGAGCAGTGAAGTAAACCTTGCTTGGTCCATTTATTGTGGAGGAATTAAACTTAATGCTTCAAATTATTTTTCTCTTCCTTTATTAACGTTAAGAAGGACTTTAGAATGTGTTGATGGGTCCCATCTCTCCAAACACAGATGTCTTTTGATTGGAAGGCCTCTGAGCCTTGATGATGCTTTCCTGAAGATTACTTGTAACTGTGTATATTTACATGTCATGCTGAGATATTATTTTTCCTTTTCAGAACGAATCCTGGAGGATCATGACTCACTGGTGGAAAATATGGTTATGTGGACCCGAGACTCCAAAAATAAAGTTTTATTTGAAGAAAGAGCAGAAAAATTTGATCTGTTTAAACACCCAGAAGTAAGTATATTTTGCTGTTATGACAATAGTTTAGCAGAAAACCTTTTGAGTGAGTGAGTTTTAGTTTTACACCGCTTTTAGCAATATTCCAGCAATATCACAGCAGGGGACACCAGAAATGGGCTTCACACATTGTACCCATTTGGGGAATCGAACCCAGGTCTTCGTAAACCTTTTGAGCTTTGCAGGGACAACTAGTGTTGTGTATGTGCATGTGTGTAGTTGAAGGGAATATTGATATGTTTGATATATTTGTTTGTTGATATGTTTGAATGAAAAGACAACCATTAAAACATAATCAGTCTAAGCACACGTGATGAAACTGAAACATATACATTCAATATTTTTGCCTGATGTTGATCATAAGGATATTCTTCTTCAAGTGGCATCTTTCCATGCACAATGTGTAATGTTGTTTGCTGTTGATGATATGTTACCGTGGAGTCAGTGCTGATTAGGATGCTATATGACTGAAGTGATTCCGATGCAACATTTAACTCACTCATTCCCTCATTTCTTGAAATTGAAAGTGAATTATTTGTTCCAGAAATATCTTTTGATTGGAACGTCCTCCGAGAGGGGTGTGTCCCTTGGCCCGAGTCAGCAAGAACGATTAATACAGGTATGGTATAACTCTGGGTATCACATAGCAGATAGAGTTAGACATGTAATAAGCCAGTCTGATAAACTGAATCATGTATCATGTATCCCAGTCAACACACTGGGACTTCTTTGAGTAAACCTGATGCATTGATGTGATGCTATTTGCTGAAAACTCTATTGCATAATGTGCCCAAACTGTTAAGAGGTTTTCTGCTGCATGACTGTTTATGAGCTATAAACCTTTCGTGGACGATTGCCAGCGTTTTTCCAAACAGGAAAACCTGTTACGTAGTTGAAGGGGCAGATAATCTGCTGCTACTACTACTACAGCTACAACTACTACTACTACTTCTACTACTACTACTACTGCTACTACTAGTACTAGTACTACTACGTTGACGACGATACCGACAATGGTGTAGATTTAACGTTTGCAGTTAAAGAGTCCAGAAAGTCAAGGCAAGTTTGAGGCTGTTTTGCAGTGAAGGGAGACAATCCATATGTCGCTGACATGTTCTAGTAAAGTTTTGTCACAGATTTGCAGAGTTTATCAATACCAGAGACAAGCTGAAATAACCCAGATAGTGACTGCTGAAGTTTACGCCATCCCCCCTTCTTATCACTATATTTGTCATTATCACTATGATGCTATCTTTGTTAAAGTCATTGTTATTTTTATTATTATTATCATTATCATTATGCTAATAATTGCAGGAGTTCTTCTCATCGTCGGGGGTGAAAGTGCCGGAAGTTGAAGGCCCACTTTATCTGAAGTCTGACGGGAAGAAGGCATGGAAGAAGTACTTCTTTGTTTTACGAGCCTCGGGACTCTACTATAACCCAAAGGGAAAGATCAGCAAGGTGAGATCATCATCGCGTACTCAGTGTATGACACTTCATACTTCTGTGTCTCGTGCAGTGACAGGTCAAGGATGATTGAGGGATCGGAAATTGAATTCTGGTGAATGAGCGAGTGCATCAACTTGATGCACGAGGAACACCTTGATGATGCAGGTGTTAGGTGTTTGATGACACCTTCAAGCAGGGTTAACACAATGACAGTCCTAGAAATATAGAATCGCAACAAAAAGAGACAGAACTAGAAAGCATTAATGCTTTTGTCGAAGTGATTAAGTTGAAGCCATTCGAAATACACTGAGACACTGTTGACACTGTTCACAGTTAACACTGGATTAACAAACAGATTATTATTGAGCAAGTTGATGATGTTGTTGACAATAATGTTGATCATGATCTTGTTGACTGTGATGATGATGATGATGATGATGATGATGATGTTGATAATAATGTTGATCATGATCTTGTTGACTGTGATGATGATTTTGATCATGATATTGACAAAGAAATTCATGGTGATGATGATGATGATGATGATGATGATGATGATGATGATGATTCTCATTATTTCAGTCCCCGAAGGACCTAGCGTGTTTGGTACAGTTTGACTTTGTGGAGCCCTACCATGGGCTTGGATGGAAGAAGAAGTACCACGCCCCGACAGACTACTGCTTTGCTCTCAAGGTACGTAGACAGTGACCCTGGCCTAGTCACAATTGGTTGTCTGCGTCTCATTCTTCTGATCACACTACACTGTGGATTGGATGGTCATAATGGCTGCCCTATATAAGTACATCAACAATAATGACCTCAGGGAGTGCTTAGTTAATCATTGCCCCCAAAATGTAGACAGCACAAGATCAGCGAAACTGTCCAGCGTGATAAAGCGACAGAACCTGGTCCATAGAGAAAGATGATCAGTCCATTATACTGATGCTCTATTAATGTTTTGTTTATGGAAACACATATACAAACATGAATAAAGTAATTGGAATCACTTGCAGTCTATTTATCTTGTGAAAATATTTTCATTCACAAAGAAAATTACAGAGTTTACTGGATTGGAAAACTTAAAGTTCTGTATATCTACCAGTAATAAACTTAAGGAATTTATTCTGACACTGGACCTGTAGGTGTTTCCCGACTGCACATGGTGTGACGGATCAGGAATATTGTCAGTCTGAATCACCTTCCTGTTAAAACTCACTTTTCCTGATCTATGGTAGATGAAACTATAGCCATACACGTTTCACACAGGAGATTTGTGAGACAGTTCGCATAGAAACCAGGACCAGAAGTTTCCGTGTTGACTTTTAATATTAATATTACATATGACTTCCACATTGGGATTTAGTTATATTTACTTATGGTATAATATCTCTTTTGTAAGTTTACGAGAGCGTCTTAGATTTACCATGTGACAACACTGATAAGGTACCTGTAATATAAGACCAGCATCAACACACTTGTAAAGCACTACTGTAATATGGGCCATGGCCTTGAATACATGAAATCATCTGAAATGTATTTGAAAAAACAATAAAAATCACCTCATTCTTTAATGTTGTGAACTTTTTCAGCACCCACAAATCCAGAGAAAGAATTCCAAGTACATTCGCTACCTGTGTGCCGAAAGCAAGACAACCATGGACCAGTGGATTATGGGTGTCAGGTTAGCGAAGGTGAGAAACCTCTAGATTACTAAAGTAGGGTTAGCTCAAATGAGAAACCAGGAGATTATGGAGCCAGGTTAGCTAAGGTGAGAAACCAGGATATTTTGTGGGTCAGGTTAGCTAAGGTAAGAAACCCTGAAATGATGGAGTGAGATTAGTGATGGTGAGAAACCTGGAAATTATGGGGCCAGGTTAGCTAAGGTGAGAAACCAGGATATTTTGTTGGTTAGGTTAGCTAAGGTGAGAAACCCTGAAATGATGGAGTGAGATTAGTGATGGTGAGAAACCTGGAAATTATGGGGCCAGGTTAGCTAAGGTGAGAAACCAGGATATTTTGTGGGTCCTGTTAGCTAAGGTGAGAAACCCTGAAATTATGGAGTCAGGTGAGCTAAAGGTGAGAAACCAGGAGCTTATGGAGTCAGGTTAGCTAAGGTGAGAAACCAGGATATTTGTGGGTCAGGTTAGCTAAGGTAAGAAACCCTGAAATTATGGAGTGAGATTAGTGATGGTGAGAAACCTGGAAATTATGGGGCCAGGTTAGCTAAGGTGAGAAACCAGGATATTTTGTAGTCAGGTTAGCTAAGGTGAGAAACCCTGAAATTATGAGAAACAGGTTAGCAGGATATATTTTGTGGGTCAGGTTAGCTAAGGTGAGAAACCTGAAATTATGGAGTCAGGTGAGCTAAAGGTGAGAAACCAGGAGCTTATGGAGTCAGGTTAGCTAAGGTGAGAAACCAGGAGATTATGGAGTCAGGTGAGCTAAAGGTGAGAAACCAGGAGCTTATGGAGTCAGGTTAGCTAAGGTGAGAAACCAGGAGATTATGGAGTCAGGTGAGCTAAAGGTGAGAAACCAGGAGCTTATGGAGTCAGGTTAGCTAAGGTGAGAAACCAGGATATTTGTGGGTCAGGTTAGCTAAGGTGAGAAAACCTGAAATTATGGAGTCAGGTGAGCTAATGTGGGTCAGGTAGAGAGAAACCAGGAGCTAAAGGTTATGGAGTCAGATGAGCTAAAGGTCAGGTTAGCTAAGGTGAGAAACCAGGATATTATTCAGGTGGCTAAAGGTCAGGATATTTTGTGGGTGTTAGCTGAGAAACCCTGAAATTAAAGGTGAGCTAAAGGTGAGAAACCAGGAGCTTATGGAGTCAGGTTAGCTAAGGTGAGAAACCAGGAGATTATGGAGTCAGGTGAGCTAAAGGTGAGAAACCAGGAGCTTATGGAGTCAGGTTAGCTAAGGTGAGAAACCAGGATATTTGTGGGTCAGGTTAGCTAAGGTAAGAAACCCTGAAATTATGGAGTGAGATTAGTGATGGTGAGAAACCTGGAAATTATGGGGCCAGGTTAGCTAAGGTGAGAAACCAGGATATTTTGTGGGTCAGGTTAGCTAAGGTGAGAAACCCTGAAATTATGGAGTCAGATGAGCTAAAGGTGAGAAACCAGGAGATTATGGAGTCAGATGAGCTAAAGGTGAGAAACCAGGAGCTTATGGAGTCAGGTGAGCTAAAGGTGAGAAACCAGGATATTTTGTGGGTCAGGTTAGCTAAGGTGAGAAACCCTGAAATTATGGAGTCAGGTGAGCTAAGGTGAGAAACCAAGAGATTATGTGGGTGAGGTTAGCTAAGGTGAGAAAGCAGGAAATTATGTGAGTCGGGTTAGCTAAGGTGAGAAACCCTGAAATTTTGGAATCAGGTGAGCTAAGGTGAGAAACCAGGAGATTATGTGGGTGACTGACTCAGTTTGGTTTTACGCCGCTTTTAGCAATATTCCAGCATTATCACGGCGGGGGACACCAGAAATGGGCTTCACTCAGTGTACCCATGTGGGGATTGAACCCGGGTCTTCGGCGTGACGAGCCAACGCTTTAACCACTAGACTACCCCACCGCATTATGTGGGTGAGGTGACCTAAGGTGAGAAAGCAGGAAATTATGTGGGTCAGGTTAGCTAAAGGATCTAGTGAAAAAGGTGAGTGGTGGTTTTTTGGTGTTGGGGAACAGTAATAACTGGGACAGATGCTGTAATTATTCTAATAACCGAATAGACTTTTGCTTGTGTTTTTACGATTGGATTTATTTCAAAATTCTCTCATGAGGAAATGTATAACACCCTTGTGGTTCATAGAAACACTATGTTTGGACTACAGATTGAACCACCATTGTTACTTGTCTTAGCAAAGGCTGTTAAAATTAATTTGGAAATATAACTTGTTTGAAGATGAAAATAAGATATGTATATGTGGATACATTTGCTTCACTGGTGAAATATTTAATATTGTTTTTAGTTTTTGAGGTTCATACTATTAGAGGTATTACTGTAATCAACAAATAGAATATATTAATTCTGAAACTGGCTGTGAAAATACTCACCAGGAAGCACATAACTGATTCTGCTCATGTTGATTCATCAGGAAGTTTCCACACAATGTAAATGGGTCAGTGAAGATACAGCGATTAACAATGACAGACGCAGCTAAGTGTTGTTTTTTCTTTACAGTTGGGGAAACAGCTACTGCACAACTACGAGCGAGCTCAACACGAGATCTCCATGTGGGACTTGCGTGACATCAGCTCCCCCAGCAGTCAGAGAACATCCACCAACATCCCAGACCAGCTGTGTCTCAACAATGTTGGCAATCTTCAAGACAGTCGCATGTCTGTGCCTGAACCCGGCTCCCGACACAGTATCGTCACAGTGAAAAATGCATCTCTAGTCCGGAACAGTGGCCCTGACTGTGATAACCCGAATGAAGTTGTGGGGATCGACGTGGTCCCTATGCCACAGAGGAAGGGCTCAGTGGGTGGTTTAAGTGGAGGGGATCCGTCCCCCCAGCCTAAGACACCTGTGAAGAGGGTGTCGTTCAGTAATACACATTGTATCATAAACGCAGATTCGCGTGAAGAAATGGTTCACTTAAGGCACCGAGATTCAATAACAAGTGCTTCAACAGATTCCAGTGAGGATTCGGCCTCCAGTGGAGAGGGTAAGCATTGCCAAGGAGGGACGCGGGGGAAACTACGGCCGAAGCTGCCAGTAACGACTGAGACAACACGGCAGTTGTCTGAAATGTTTCAGATTTCCATGGATACATGCAGTGTTCAGTCAAATGATAGTGCATTCTCTGATGATAGAAAGTCCTACTTGGAGAAAAGGAGATCTTCGTCTTCTTCCACATCCAGTGATAAAATGAGGATGCATTCAGAAAGTGATCGTACCAGCAAAACAGAATCGATAAAGGAGCAAAGGATGTCAAGCACACGCAGTTCAGGACCAATGTCTCCTCTGTCTCCTCCTCTTCAGAGGCAATCATCAGAGCCAACCTATCAACAGCTGACCTATCAACAGCCAAAGGCAGCAGTGATGCAACAAGCACCTGTTCCTCCTCCACAGGAGAAGGCGATGCCTCCACCGCCACCACCACCAAATGCAGCAGTACATCCACCTCATCCAGTGCCCAGCAACACAATGCCACAGCCGATTCCGGTGAAGTCACCTCCTCCTCCGCCTCCACAGATGCAGAAGGGTCAAGGCTCTGTGCCACCTCCGCCACCTGGCCATATGAAAGGTCATGGATCTATGCCACCTCCCCCTCCACCGATGCAGAACCAAGGGTCAGTACCTCAACCTCCCGTTATGCCGCCAGCACCAACAATCCCTGCTCCAGCTTCACCAGTGCCAACAGGGATAAAACGACCAGGATCAACCCCACCCCAGAACGGCAGGGTGCCTCCACCACCTCCACCTCAAGGACGAGGACCTCCGCCCCCACCTCCGGTTAAAACCACCCAGATCTTACAACCTCAGAAACAAAACCCAATCTCACCCACCCAAGCACAAAGGCCTCCTAACACGGCAATGTCACCAGGGCAGGTACCACGACCTCCAAATTCGGCAATGTCGCCTGGGCAGGCTCAACGACCTCCAAATTCAGCAATGTCGCCTGGGCAGGCGCCACGACCTCCAAATTCGGCAATGTCGCCTGGACAGGCACAACGACCTCCTAATTCAGCAATGTCGCCACCTCCACCTCCCGTGACTGGGATGCAGAAGTTCACCGGACCATTTAGTCCCCAGCTGTCCCGTGTCGAGCGCCAGATGAATGGGTCAGCTGGACCCCCGACTCGGTCACCAATGTCTCCAGGCACACCTCCTGGAGGCCCACCCACAACAGCACCAAAGCCAAAACCACCTCCACTATCGCCGGTCGGTAACCAAAACCTCGGAACAAAGTCACCCCGGAATTCGCCGACAGTTTTGTCCCCACCTCCTCCCAATGGGATGATGCCCAAGGCAGACTCCCCAAGTGCTATGGACAAGGGCGCTGGCATTCCTATGCCACCACCAATGCCACTTCTACAAACTTTACCAACACAATTAATTTCTCAGAGAATCTCACACATCAAGCACCCTTCTACAGGAACCCCTATGTCTCAATCTGTGAAGCAAGGACCAAACCAACAACAGACAGTATTGCAAAAGAACCGTGTCACAACAAATGGTGGTATGCACGAAGATCATGACAGTGCATCAGTTCAGTATATGACAGAATTATCGAAGAGGTCACACAATCATCCACCTCAGTTTGGACACAACATGGCACATGGAAACCATACTGCTGAATGTGTTTCTATGCCCAATCAAAGCATCGGTGGTGCTAACCATAGACGATCCGCATCTGCAGGGGGAAATGTTATGAAACCCCCCGGTCCCCCAGTGGCCCAGAAACCAGACAGTAAAAAAGCAAATCCTCCTCCGCCACCAAAACGCAGCGAGCACACACGGTTATCTTCAGACCAAGCCAGGCAGCTGAGACTGCAACAACAAAAGCAGCAGCAGCAGCAGCAACAGCAGCAGCAACAGTCTGGGGAGAGGGTCCAGCAGTGGCTGATCCTATATACGAGAACTGTGAAGGTATTATGGATATTAATGAGCTTCCTCCACCACCTCCTGAGTTTCTGGAAGGACTGTCTCCCCAACAGCAGGAGCAGCAGAGAGCACTGCAAGCTTGCAAGAAACCTCGTCCTCCACCACCGCCCCCGAAAAGAAACAAAGATACTCACCTGAGCCACTGAGTGTTACTTTTACCTGCTTCACAGAGGATCCGTTGGCTCAAATTTGCAATAAGCTGAACTGATTGTGAGCAGCCATCTGTGTTCTGTCCTGGTCGGTTCTGATGTACCAGAGTGATGGCGTCGTAGCATTGGCTATGATCTGCAAGTCATTCATGTTGGTGTTAGAGCTTGGTGGTGTCAGACCGGGGGAACTGTTGTTGAAAATTATTATCCAAAGTTACTGCTACTTGACAGAGGTCCGTTATAGTTGACAGTGTATTGTTCATCACGTGTCTTGCCATTGAGGTTGTTAGCATTATACGCAAAGGTGGGTGTCAGTACCTTGATGGCATCAGTTGTAGATTCCGTGTCTTTGTCGACATTTTGCAACCACCATATTGATTGTACAATTTTGCCTCTTTGACCAATTCATGTGCCATATATATATCTGCAAGCATATTAATGTCATCGGTTAATTACCTTCAAACCTCTCATTTAACATTGTGAACGGATCTCAAACTTACGTCATTCAAAATTTATGAAGCGTACCACTTGGAAATTATTCTGGTGAATCTTTTTTAAGTATTTTTAATTTATTGATTTGGAACCCATTTTGCCAAGAAGTCATGGTTTTGTTACTTTGTTGTAAAGTTTGCTATTTGGTTGTTGTTTTAGGTAGTACAACTAACAAACTACAATTCAAAACGATTTTGTAGTATTTATTTTGTGTGTTGGAAAAGAACATAATCAGTGTTGATATACATCAATGAAGGAGTGCTGTTGGAAAACCTGGTTACCATGGTTACTGCTTATTAACCCAGCAATGGAGGTATGCTGAAAGTAACAGAATGCTTGACAACAGGACTTGTGTAATCTACTTCTGGAGGCCTTATAACCTGCTTTTGATACTTAGTGAGATTTACATTTATGTTTATACTAGTAGGTTAGAAACAAGTTTCCTGACTGTCATTCAAAATTGATCAGGATACCAGCATTGGTCATAAGCATTCATTATAATGAGTCATAATGAATATTTTAACCAACTGGGGTTGACAATAGTCTCCCATAAGAGATCAATGATGACAAATATTCATACCAACAGAGCTCAAAATGAATATTAATACCTGAAGAGTCATAATGAACATTAATACCAGCAGTCATAATGAATATTCACATCAGGAGAGGTCATAATGAATATTAATACCAAAAAGAGGTCATAATGAATATTCATACCAAAAGAGGTTATAATGAATATTCATTCCAGCAGTCAACTATTTTCCAACAGTTTCTCCATCATTTTTCATGGTCATGTCATTTGCATAATATATCATACTTCACTTCTCAGATGTGCCAATATTTTATTTTAGTTAAACTGTCAATATTTATGTGAGTCAGTCTTTAGTGACATTTTTACCCTTTTGTTACGTTGTTATGTTACACATGTGCTTCTGTTTACTCCATGGTGCTCTTAAGATGGCTAGCTGCTTGGACAGGAAGCCATTTATCCTTTCTAATTCTCACATGATAGATACCTGTCACAGCTTTCACTTTCTTTAAACCTTTGTCTTTTCTATTCTCAATTCTTCTAATGTGTGATCGTTGAAACATTAGAGATGCCCGGGTTTGTTTTGTTTGTGAGAGATGGTAATTAATATAAAGACACTTGACAGTGGAAGCTGTTTTGGAACACGATGCTGCATTTGTACATACTTCATCTGGTGTGTTTCCTGTACAGTGTACTGCTCTGTGGCAGCTGTACAATTTCTTCTTTCTGCTTCAAGGGACATCTCAAAACATTTTATGTATTTTCCCCAAAAATACAATTTTGTAACAAATGCATTCTTCAGAAATTGTGTCTGGTGAATAATTTCCTGTTTGAACAAATTATGGTGGTTTGATGTTTGGAAAAAGGCATGAGATATTTTGATATGGTCCCTCAGCTTACCTTGTGCAATAGACAATAGACTTTGGTTGCCATTGGTAACCAGGAATTGACATTAGTGTATTTGTAAAAACATTCATTAGTTGACAATTTCTGTGTTGAGCTAACTTTCCAGCAATTCTGTGTATATCTGGATCTCACTGTCAGATTTCATGATGTTTGTCAAACAAACGTCAAGTTTCATATTCCTACCGAGGTTGCTGATAGGGAAATAATATATTTATAACACCATCATAATTAAATGGCATTGTGTCTACAAATAGACAGTTTTAAGAAGCATGTTGCCGGAAGTGTTTCATCTTGGGAAGGATATTCCTGAAAACTGCTGATACCCCAAAACAGAAGCACCGTTATTGCCTGAGTAAAACATTTTCTTTCAAAATTGTGACAACAAGGTTTGCAAAATATGTTTAATTAATTAATTAATTAATTTATTTATTAACCCTGCAATGTGTTTTAAATTCTAGCCCTCAGACTTAATGTAATTTATTCACAGTTTTAGGTCTGTTGTTTATGAAATATATTCCACTTACATTTTGGAAACGTATTCAAAAGATTAAGTTAGTTTAAACAAAGTAGACAGTAGTGTTAAACGAAATTATATACATGGTTTGAAGACATATTCCTTCCTGTTGGGTTGTAGGCATACGAGGCAGATTGGACAGACTGTATAGTCGTACTGTGGTGCCCTACAAGTCACTTTGTATGTGGATTTTTGTGAGAAAACACGGAAAGTTATCAGAATGTGTGTTTTGTATGATGACATACCATCATCTGCTTTTTCTACCGACTTATGCAACTGTCTCCATATCGTGAAATGAACGTCCGTCGTGGCAGTGCCTGTGTGCTTGTGTTGTGCTTGGACAATAATGCTTGCTGAGATGGAGGATCTGGATTGTCATATATTCATGTTGGACATGTCTGCTAGTCAAGGATGTGTATATAGTACCAGACTTTTTCATGTTGTGTGCGATGTCTAGTCAAAGTCTCCATCGCCAAGACGACAAGTTGGGAAGCTGTCAGAACAAAGCCTGATTTTCAGGGAACATTGTTTGTCAGAGCAGGAGGATTGTCAGAAGAAGTGATCACCAGAGAACAATTGTCATTTGATCTAAAAACAAGAATGTTGCTGAGAACTTTGTCCGAGAAAGTGTTATGAGAACAATGGTCTGAGAACAAGTGTTTATGAGAACAATGATTATCTGAGAACAATGATTATCTGAGAACAGTTGTTTAGGAGAACAATGATGATCTGAGAACAGTGACTTCTGAGAACAATGATCAAGTGACAAGGATTGTCTTGATTTCTGACAACAATGACCATCTGACAACAGTGAGAACAATGATTGTGAGCACAATGACTTCTGACAATGTTAGTGTAATGATAATGTCCGGAAATTAATTGGAGGAATCACTATGCCAGTCTGCCACACTGTAAGTGAAAGATTGAACACTATCAGGGATCTAGCTGTATGTTAAACCAGGTTTTGCTACAGGTATCAAATTGCAAAAGTCTAAGAACTGTTATGAGAATTATGTAATTTAGATGTTGTGCAATGGCAGATAGCTCATGTATTTTTGGCTTCTCAAGAAGGGATTATATTTACAAAGTTTAAAATCACATTTTGAACCGAGATTTTGTTGTAGAAAATATGACTATTTGGTGTTAATTTTTCTGCATCAAATCAGGTGTACAAGAGTTTTGCTACATTGTCTATAATTTATCTGAAATCACTTTGTAAGTTAAATTAATGAACAAAATTTCTACAGATTATGTAATATGATGATGTATAACCCCAAAAGCTTTTTATCAAAACCAAATAACCCATTTCATTATTAATATCACAGAGTTATGTATTTATCAAATGCTATTTAAAGTCAGTTTTGAGATCAGTGTAAATTTAATTATGAACTTTATGAATGAATCTTGGTAAGTTTCTGTGAATTGTTTTGCTACATCGGTGTGTGCAATATAACCTTGAGTAGATGTTGTCTGCTTTTACTGATGGTGCCCCTCTTCATCCCCTCTGTTGATGCTGAGCAATGCAGTCACACACCCCAGCAGGTCCAACAATACACTACATGACATGCATTGTTATGCAGGACAATGGAAATACCTCAAACAATTAAAATACAATGATAATTATTATTAAAAAGTGTGCTCCCACAATGATAATTTTATTTTATTTGTTTGATTATTTTACCAAATTATTACTACAATCATTGTATATTTGTGTTTCATTATTTTGGGATTTTTTTAAAAAACAACAGTTTAATATATTGTATGTATTTTTCTTTTGTATATTAGTGATATAACAGATTCACAGAAGGGGATTTAGTTGAAGAAAGTTGTGTTACGTTGATGGAGAAAGAAGTTTCATCAATGTTGGATCTAGGTTTGTTCACTAGGACTTGATCCCCAAAAATATATTACCCTGGTACCTAGTTGTTTGTAGTTTGGTAAGTACCTTGCGTCAATTTTCTAATTATATTTTATTTTTGATATTTGTTTTGTTGTAAGTTCCAGGGGTGTTTTTTATGGTGAATAAGGTATCTCATGAAGTTCCCAATTAGGATTGGTTGTCCCTGCATAACATTGTATCACACTCATTACATACAAACATTGCTGTCATTTTAAGTCTGTACTCAAAAATATTTGCTTCTAACAATATATTTCATGTCTTTGATAGGCATTTAGAAGCTGGAGTAAATTACATTTTATGTAGCATGACAACTATTCATGGCTAACTCTTTTCTCTTCATCATTCACTTAAGGGAGAGACAGGAAGCATGCATGAAATTGTTGTTCAAAAATTTATTGTCTTAATAAAATCATAGCCTCAAATAACACCTTAGGACATATAGTTGAATGTTTTGTTAGAAGAAACGTTACAAAAATCTGTTACACTTATGAATATTTGATGGAAATATTTGGGGATGATTAAAGACTGAAATCAGCAAGGACGATGCCAGGTTTTGATTGTTCATGCACACTGCGTAATGTTATGGTGTTGAGTGAGGTTTCTCAGTACAATTACATGCATCACAACTTTCTCTAGAATATGCTGTTCCTCTCGACTGTGGACGAGGCATCACCTGTACATAGTCGTCTATATTCGGATGGCCTGTCTGAAGGACACACGGACGGACGTATGGCACGCAGTCTGTGGTGGCGAACGCTGTTGACAACACGCAGCAGCAAGTGACCACCGTATCTCAGTGTCCTAGTGTGTAGACTGTGATGTACTTACACCACATGATAATGTACATTTTTGAATAAAATATAATGCAACCCTATGGTAAATTTATTGTTCTGTTTACCTTGTATTTTAAAGTTCCTAGGTTGTCTCGGAAACGACTTGTGACCCAAAACAACCCGAAACGAAACACACAGTGTGAAGGTTGGATTCTCCAAGGTGTTATCATGGACAGGAAAATGAATGTTGTTTTACGCCACAGCAATATTTCATCTGTATCCGGGCGGTGGGGTAGTCTAGTGGTTAAAGCGTTGGCTCGTCACTCCGAAGACCCGGGTTCGAATCCCCACATGGGTACATTGTGTGAAGCCCATTTCTGGTGTCCCCCGCCATGATGTTGCTGGAATATTGCTAAAAGCGGTGTAAAACCAAACTCAGTCAGTCATCTGTATCCAGGCAGCATGGAGATGATGAAGCATGAACCAGATAAACCAGTGGTTGATGTTATGAGCATTGTCTAACACTGGTGTATAATGACTCATAATCAACCAAGAGCACCTGCTGACCCAATCCAGTTTAGTGGCCAAAGTGAGTGAGCGTGGTTTTATGAGCTTTCAGGAATATTCCAGCAATATCACTGCTGGGGACACCAGAAATGGGCTTCACACATTGTACCCATGTGGGGAATTGAACCCGGGTCTTAAGTGTGACAAGCGAATGCTTTAACCATGAGGCTACCCCTCTGCCCATTAGTGTCCGAGGACAACTGACAGTAGAGTGCAGGGATTCTTAAAGCCTGAGTTCTCATTGAGGTGTCATGTTGAGGTGTCATGTCATGTGGGACCACCTCCTTGGAGATCCCAGTGTGTCAAAAGGTGGTCTTTGTTGTAACCCTGCCAGGAATGTGGCTTAAGAACCACCTCAGGTGTCTGAGTGGTCTGTGTTGAACTGTGGACATCTGGGGATAGCACTATAAAATTAATCTGCCTGGAGAGTATCACTGGACACACACAAGTTTATCACTATATGAGTTGCTGAACCAAAAGGTGGTCCTTGAGAAAGGTTGTAACCATTTTCTGCCTGAGTTTGTGGTGTCAGGACAAAAAGGGTGTGTGTGGTGTGTGCGCACCCCTCCTCTGGATCTGCCTATGTGAACAGTGTGCACACATGCACACACCAATACCACCTTCCAACAGTACTCTACACTAGTGCATTGTTATGCAAGACAATGGAAATACCTCGAGACAATTAAAATGCAATAAGAATTATTTTTAAAGGAGTACTTCAGAAATAATTATTTTATTTCATTTATTTGATTATTTTACAAAATTGTTGCTACAATCAAAGTACATTTGAGTTGCTTTATTATGGGATTAAGGCCCAACAATATAAAGCCAACAATTTTAGAACATAGATGTTCGCATGCATGCACACACTCTTTGGCATGTTTCAAAATCGTTGGTTGTTTTAGACTGGTGATAAAAGAAGGAAATATTCTTTCCTTCCTTGTCCTGGGTATTTATAAGTGAGGATCCAATACTTGCTGTCAGTAGGTCAGTAGAACATGTGCAGGCATCCATAGTATCCAGAGTTAATGAGTAAGTAGGGTTCAAGTCTGTAATATGGGTAAGATTATTTGAGAAAATGGGTTTATGAAGTCCAATAAAACCTGAAAAGATATATGAAAAACATTTGAGAAGTGACAAACGAAATATACCAAAAGAATGCACCTATTCTTATTCTTCCCGGTACACTGACATGTTCATATTGTATGATATTTACCACTTTCAAAATGTGGTAAATCTTGGCGTTGAACCCATGGAGCCTTGTTGCTAAGGGACACAACTCTGGTACATGAAGTGGCACCCACAAATGAGGGATAGATTTCACGCTGCCCTTGATCCAGTGACAACTCTGTTTTCTGGACAAAACTCAACAGTTAGTAAGTTTGGTTGCAGATATTACACTCAATATGTTTTGTCATTCCCCATAAGATCGACCACTTGGTATGATTCTGGATCTTCAGGGTATGGACAAGTGAGGTTGCACTTTTAAGGATAGTGCAACAAAATGAAAACATCTTCATACATAAGCCGATTTAGTGAAGCTGAGGAATTATAAACAGGCTCCCGAGAAAAGAGTTTCAAATTAACTGGTTTTATTGTATTAATCATTAATACAATAAAACCAGTTAATAGTTTGAAACAATTTCCCGACCAACCCGGACCTGACAATGGCTGCTTCAGCCAAACGTCGCTTCAGCTAAAAGTCTACGAATAAGTCGTCAAGAGTTACTTCCCCTGTCTGACAGAGCCAAGGGCAACTGTCAACAAGTCTGCTGACATATATATATTATACTCATAGAAACGAATAAGGGAACACACGAAAGTACAAGTGTTCCTTTATTTATTTCCAGAATTTCACCCACAGTGCAATGCATACCTTGTGAAGAACCCCGGATAAGGATCAGAATGAACACTTGTACTTTCATGTGTTCCCTTATTCGTTTCTTATATATATACTAGGCACATAAAGAAACTGTGCATACAAAAATTTAAAATCTAAATTTATCAAACCTGTGTAGACACATAAGGATTTAAACTCAGAGACATGTATCCAAAATGCATGCACGTGCCACGTTCCGTGACGTCAGTGGGTTCGTCCTTGAGACGTGCAATACGTTGTTGCTCGTGCATTCCGGGAAAGAGAAACGGAGCAAATGAATGCCACACAATACTGTCACATTGGAAAGCTCAACCCCTGCCCTTGCGATCGTTCAAAAGATTAAACGGCTATTGAAACGCATAGCATGCCAAGGCTCACGTCTGCACAACGTCATGAGGCCATTGGGATGGTCCGTGGGGGAATGTCTCAACGACAAGTGGCTGCACATTTCCACTGCCACCGGAACACCATTTCTGCACTGGTGAGACGCTACCAGAACACAAATGACGTCATCGATCGGCCACGTTCTGGACGTCCGCGTGTAACAACGCCAAGACAGGACAGATGGATAAGGGTGACCCATCTTCGCCACAGGTTTCAGACTGCAGTGATGACTGCCCGAACCATCCCAGGACTTCGCCGTATCCACCCCAACACAGTTCGACAACGTTTACGTCATCACGGGATCAGACCACGACGTCCCGCCATACGGCCTATCCTGACACAACGTCATCGACAAGCTCGCCGAATGTGGTGCCGAAATCATGTCCCCAGACCCTTGTTTTGGTGGAGAAATGTTGTTTTTACAGATGAGTCCAGGTTTAACATTTCCCATAGTGATGGACGTCAACGTGCCTATAAACGCGTGGGAGAACGTTATGCACAGGCCTGTGTCTTGGAGAGGAATCGCTTTGGTGGTGATTCCGTGATGATTTGGGGTGGAATAACAGCACGCCAAGGAACTCCTTTGGTGATTGTTCAGGGCAACTTAACTGGTGTGGGCTACAGGGATCAGATTCTTCGACCTGTGGCAATTCCTTTTCTGCAAGGTCATGGCCCTGGTTCCAACAGGACAATGCCCGCCCTCATACGGCAAGGGTTGCTATGGATTTCTTGCAACACCACAACGTTGACTTACTGCCTTGGCCTGCAAATTCACCGGATCTCTCCCCGATAGAGCATGTTTGGGACGAGATGGATCGACGTCTACGCCGTCTTCCTCATCCGCCAGATAACGTCCTTGACCTTGCAACAGAACTTGTGAGAATCTGGCGTGACATCCCACAAGCCTTCCTTGCACGTTTGATAGGCTCTATGCGTCGTCGATGCACTGCTGTTCTCAATGCCGATGGTGGACATACCCGTTATTGAGCTTGTGACATGGTCGTTTGACCCCTGTCCCGCTTGTGGACTCGTGACGTCATTGTGATTGACTTTTCAATTGAAATTCTCCCGACTTGATCCCTCCATTAAAGTTTATATGTACCTTTGACATTGTTATCGTACTTATCAACTGGGATAATATTTGACAATGCACAGTCTCTTTATGTGGCTAGTATATATATCCGCCGCGATAATGCATGTGTGTAGTGAATGATATGACCCTCCCTGAATATACGCCACTTTTTGGCGATCCCCGCTAAATGTTTGCCCTGGTTTACATGATTCTGCTTATTGGGTGGTAGGTGAGTGAATGTTTCGTTTAACGCCGCTTTGAACAGGTATATTATAGCTGAATCAGAGCAAAGTTGTTTTTTTGAATGTTACAGAACCCGCGGCCTTACACTTCTGGTATGCTCATGGTGTCGGACGCAATGTGTTGAGGCGCTCTGAGTATGAGTATAGTTTTATGCCGCTTTTAGCAATATTTCAGCATTGTTTGATCAGCATTCTAGAAGTTGGTGGGTCAAAAATGAAACATACAAGTTTATGGATGACACCTTCTTCTTTATTGCGTTAAGCGACGTTTCGATGAAAAAGACTAGAATTTGTACATTTAGCTATGATAACGATGTAAAGAGTCTTCATCGAAACGTCGCTTAACGATATAAGTCTACAAGAAAGTGTCATCCATAAAGTGGTATGATTCATTTTCAATATTTCAGCAATATCACGGCAGGGGACACCAGAAAAGGGTTTCACACATCGTACCCGATTGGGGAATCGAACCCAGGACTACGGCGTGACGAGTCAGGCCTTTAATCACTAAGCTACGACACCACCCCCTGAGGCGCCTTGAACAACTTTGCCGCCAATGACCAGATCCTTCCTTCCTTTGTTTGTTTGTGCACCCAACACTATTCCATCTATATATATGACGTTGATAATCGAGTCTGGACCAGGCAATCCAGTGACTGAAATCGTGTGCATCGATTTACTTAATTTGATTACATGCATCAAGCAAATCAGTGGGCGCGACCACCTGATTAAATTATCAGGTGATTAAAGTATTGATTACTGAATATTTCACGGTATATTCGGCGTGTTTGCTTTATAAAGTAAGGATTGAGGAATTAAGAAATAGTGACCAGTGCTTGTTCCACATAATGACCAAATAGCTACGATTGTTGTTGATCAGTGTTAAAGAATGCAGCGTAACATTGAGTAGGTGAGTGAGGTTAGTTTGCCGCTGCTTTTAGCAATATTCCAGCAAGA